AAAACAATTTTGTTAGATTGTATTGTGACAGTTGTTAAAGTGTCATGCATTTTTTAAAAACTTATCAAAATTGAAATTTTGTGTAGCCATTTTAATATTGAAGATGGAAGAAAATAAGTGACTTTTTGGCATATTGCGTTTATTATCTCAAGAAAGGTAAAAATGCAACTGAAATGCAAAAAATTTCTGCAGTGTGTGAAGAAGGTGCTGTGTGACTAATCGAACATGTCAAAAGTGGTTTGCAGGAGATTTTTGGCGGACAGTGTTCCACAGTTGGTTTGGAGACCAGTTGAAGTTGACAGTGATAATTGAGACATTAACTGAGAACAATCAGCATACTATGCAGGAGACAGCCAACATACTCAAAATATCCAAATCAATAAAGTTATTGGTGAAAACGAAAATTGTGTCTTTTATTTTATGGAAAAAGCACATGAACTTTTTGGCCAACCCAATATATGGAAGGGGGCTAGGAAGATGCTGAAGAGAAAAGGAGAGCGGCAGGGTGGTAGAGATGACGTTAATAATGAAACTGTAAGTAAACGAGCTATTCCATTGCTAGTGCAGTGCTTAGAGTGTAGTAGGTCCTCTAATTCAGGCGTTTGAACACCTCAGTCTCTGGGATCTCCTTAAATTGAGCAATGCTTTTGTTTGCACATATTGTACAAGATAACTTGGAGAACTCACCACTTTATTCTGTGTACTGGATTTAACATTGAAAGTTCTACATAGCCAGAGTGTACAAATTGTTCCTTGGTTATTCAGTAACTCAGGTTGCTTAAGAGACTATTTGTTAATAAGTTGATGAATTGATAAGCTCCTAGGTATTGTTGTTGTTTATTTTTTATAACTTGCTGCTCTTTAGAGCAAGAATTTTCTGATTTCGAGCTGTTCTTAGGCCCTTTTCATACATCTTACAGTTCCAATCGAAGGAGAGTAAGCTATTATAGGGACTAGGGAAGTAGATTTTCTAAGGATTTAGTTTATTAATTAGCGCTCAGGGTTAACAGTATCGCACAAATTGCTGACAAAGTGAAAAAAGGGGATTAAGAAGGGAAATATTTATTCAGTTAAAGGAGAAGGCAAGAAATCTTCTTTCTGACCAACTTAATCAAAAAAATTGCAATACTGCTTTTGAGTATCTCACCTAATTCAGTCTTAACATAGTTATAAAATTTTGTTAAAAATTAGAATTTCATGGCTCTTGGCTTTGGGCTAATTTTTGACTTAAATGACTCACTGAATTTTGGATGATTCCTTCTCCAGATCCTTCTTATTCAGGCTTACTGTCTTTTTTCTTTTTTGTTGTGAATAGCCCACTCTGTTGAGACTCAGTTACAAGAGCTTTCGTTGCCAGCAGGAGAGGCTGTGAAGTTGCACATGACTTAGATACAGAGATCTTTGTTAATGTCCACCTTTATTTCAGTACTTTCGTGTAGTCTGAGATTCAGTGCTCCTGTTCGTCTTTCAGAAGGGACAGCTCTACCGAGACTGCTTCGCAAGGCTAGTAGTTTAGCCCTCACCAAAGGCACTGCCCTGGCTCAGGGAAGCCAGGCTTAGCTCCCCCAGAGAGACCGCAGATTTTCTGGGCCTGGCTGTCTCTATGGAGGTGGGATTTATCTGTGAGTCAGTCAAACAGGAGATGAGGGACTGTCAAGAGACTGGAGTGGAGTAAAGGGGAGAGGGTCTAGGGTGCCTGGGGAAGATGTTAATTTCTTTGGTAGGATGATTGGTCCAGTGTCTCAGGTTTTTTGAGCAGGTGTAACGGACAACAATGGGGGAGGTTACAGCATTGAGGGGGAGGAATTCCTAGGGTCCTAGAGGGAGGCATAATGAGAGAGCTCGTGGGAGGCAACCACTCCCTGTTGTGGTACCATCATGGCCTGTCGACTGATTGCCCTTCTGGAGTGTAGACCTTTCTTAGTGTCCTGTAATCTCAACAAATCACAAAGTAAGGAATAGATGGAGAGTGGAAAGAATAAAAAAGAAAGTCGTAAAAACGATTAGAAAGTTAAGAGGCTTAAAAAAAAACAAACCCAAAAGAATATATGGAAGGATATATATAGTTAAGGAAATAGTTAAATTAAAACATTTTCTAATAGCCCTATAATGAGAGGTAAAAGAAGTACAGTAAGTGATATTTAAAATAAAACACATAAAATGCACAAAGAACTAACTAGATAAATGAAAACATATAAAAGTGAAGATGAAAGATACGATTTTTAAATAGAGCTATGAATTTATAAAATCTTTAAAAACTTTATACACCACACAATATTCTATATCTCTTTATTTTAAAGATTGATTGATTGATTGATTGATGGGAGGAGGGAGAGAAATATTAATGTGTGGTTGCCTCTCATGTGCCCTGACTGGGAATTGAGACAGCGACCCTTTGGTTTACAGGCTGGCACTCAGTCTATTGAGTGCACAGCAGTCAGGGCTATTCTATATCTTTTTTTATAGCACTTATCACACTTGTAATTAAATAATTGCTAGGATGAGTATTTATTGTATGTTCCAGTCCTGGTTTGTAAGCTTCATGCTTACAGGAACAGTTTCTTGTCTATTACAGTATTCCAGAGCCTTATAGTTTGCTAACATACTATGTTCAGTGAATTCTTTTTGAGTTGAAAAACAGGTAGAGTTAATTTTCTTTAGAAGTTTTGTTTTGTAAAATTAGAATATGACAAGCAAACAGGGAAAGAAAACATGACAGGGGACCCAACTCTGCAGTCTCTCCTTCAATTGAACCTTGTTATGGAAGAGCTCATTATGAAAGGGGGCCTGGGGCCCTTTGGAGGCATCTTTTGGCTTTTTTCCTTGGGGATAGTGCTCTTGTAGGCCCTCCTACCCGCCACCCTCCTTTTTTTAATTTAAGGTGAAAGTCCCATGACGTAAAATTAACCTCTTAGCCCTGGCCAAGTGGCTCAGTTGGTTAGAGCATCATCCCGACGCGCCAAGGGACGGGAGTGACGCCATCATTCCTTGGTCAACGCACATACAGTAATCAACAGATGAATGCGTAAATAAGTGGAACAACAAGTTGATTTTTTTTTCTTTTCTCTAAAAAAAAAAAAAATCAATAAAAAAGTAACTACTTAAAAGGAACAATGTAGTGGCATACAGTTCATTTATAATGTTCTGCAGACATCCCATTACCTAATTCCAAAATACTTTCATCATCCCTAAAATGAAACCCAGTACCTTTAAGTGGTCTTTTCCATTTCCGCTGTCCCCAGCCCCTGGCAGGCACTCATCTGTTTTCTGCCTTTGGGGATTTTCCCTGGCCTCTTTTTAAACTAGATCTGTTGGAGAGGGATGCTGTGCCCAAAAAGAAATTATTTGGCTTTACAGGCCTGCATAGTACTGGGACTCAGAGTTAGATCTCTTTTCAATACTTATTTTTTAAATAACATCTTCATGGACGTCATAAATTTAAGTGATATTTATATACTTTAAACTTCCTAATTCTCGTAATTTTTTAGCATTCTATTCTAAAACTATAAAATATAATAATTACATTGATGATTACCTGTAGTAATCTAGTAATCAGATATTTATATGTGATTTACACATGTAGCACTTGTCTGTCTCTACAGTAAAACAGGGTTTCAGCCATGACTTCCTGGACTGGGAAGTCTGGATAATTGTTTGCTGTCCTATGCACTGTAGAATGTTTTAGCAGCACCTTGGCCAAGGTGCCAGTGGCACCTCCAACCCCCTTCTAAGTTGTGACACTTAGAAATGTCTCCAGACATTGCTGAGTGATCCTTCAGGGGCGAAATCACCCTTGGCTGACAACCACTGCATTACAATAATTTCTCTTGAGAATTTGACTTTCTCTTTCATTTGAGACTGTTAATACAGTATTTGTGAGAAGTAATTATCATAGAGTGATAGAGTAGAATTGCTAAATCACCCATGAAGTTTAGTTACTGATTCTTGTAATTGTTCTCCAAACTGATTTCTATTCTTAAAATTTCTTTTCTTTGAGTTCTTAATTTTGATGTTTGGCAGTACTCTCCTTGCTGCTTATGTAAGGCTCCTTTTTGGTTTGGCTCTGGTATGCTAAAGGAATTCAACTTGATTGCCTAATAGGAAGTAATTTCATGGAAAAAGTAAATACAACCATATGAGTTTGTTCAGAAGTACTTGTAATATTCAGCTGTTATGAAGTACAGTGACTAAAACATTTATCAGTTGAAGAAAAGAGAGAATTTTTTCTTAACAAATTTCCCTATTTTGATGTCAAAAGAACTTAAACAACTGTCTTCTAGTGTTACCATTTAACTTACTGATAATAAATTAAATTCTCCCTTTCTGTGCTTCCCTCATATGCCATGAAAGTTGTTTCTCAGAATGTGAAGGCTCCTTGGCTGCTACTAAAATCTTGTTGCTCAGTAATCACAGGTTAAATGAAATAAAATTCAAAAATGAATATTTGATTTTATATAAGATCTATTTCAAAATAAATTTATAGGCTATTTAAATTCCCTATAGAGTTGAAAGTGACATTTTTAAAGAATTTTCCCTGTATGAGCCAGTTTTCTAACTAGTTTGAGATTTTACCTGTAATTAATTTGTTTGACTGGGGACAAAACTTGGGGAAAAATAAGACAGGGTGGATGGAAGAAGAGAGCCAAAAGAGGAAATGTTTAATGTAATATTACAGGGTTTTATTAAGTGTAGGGTAGAGAGAGGACACCTCAAACGAGCTTTCTACTGGGCGTGAACTATTTAATAAGGTCATGGGAAGAACGAAAATCTCACACAGTGGAGCTTCAGTTGTCTTCCCTGCATAGTAAAATTCAGTTTCTGTGGATTCTGTTTTCATGCTTGGAAGGAGATGAAGGCCATCTCTATATCATTTGTTATATGTATATTTTTCTTAGTATAGATCCGGAGACAGGTGTAAGAATTCTGTGCTTTAGCTGCTTCTCTCCTCCTCTGTGCTTGGAAAATGTATCTAATACATTTTCATCATTTTACCTATTTAGGGACTACGTTAGAAGTGAACTGGAGTCTGCCTATGAAGGACCAATGTATTTAGAACCTCTCTCCATGAATCGTTTTACCACAGCCTTAATAGGTAAGTGCTGTTAGTGTAGGTAGGAACCAACCAATTTACTGTGTTACAAAATTGGTGCATAATTACTCCAAAAAAAATTGGGAAACTCTGACTCTTTTCAAAATGCAGCCATGGTTAAATGTTTCATTTTCTTAGTCTTTTTTTCTCATGCATCGGTGTTTATAATCATATGCTGTCTGCAGTAGCTTGTGCTTTTTAATGGTATTTTAAGTATTTAGGAATTAACTTTTTAATAAAGCTAATTATGATCATAAGATTAAAATAAAATACGCAGTGTCTAAAGTTATTTTATACCTGTTGAAATCTTCACCCTGTGGTCAAAAATAAAATTGCCAGAAACATCAAGGACTTGAGACATGATTGGAATATTCAGGTAGCAGAATGTAAAAATAGAAGTGTTGGTTAAGACCCCAAAACAACATACACAGAGTGTAAAGTGAGGTACCAGACCCCTCCGGCCAGAGGTGCAAAAAAGGAAGTGAGAAAAAACTTGTTTTGTGACTCTTGACCTCACCCATGCAGAAGGTGTTAAAAGGTCCAGTGTTGGAGATTGAGGGATGATTTCTTTAGATAGACTGTTTTCTCTGAAATACCTCCCCAGCCCATCACATCTAGAGAATTCAGTGGTAGACCATTTAGAGAGTCACATGTCTTCTGTGGCTGGGGAGAGGGTGGTCGATACCCCTACTGGTGTCTGAGCAAGGCTGCAAAATCTAAAGCTGCACCATCCAAAACTAGCCACATGTGGCTATTGAGCACTTGATATGTGGCGAGTCCACGTTCAGATACACTGTACTTGTAAAACACATCCAATTTCTAAGACTGTACGAAAGATGCAAAATGTCTTGTTAATTTTTTATACAAATTTGAATGTCTATATGATATTTGGGATGTTAAATATAATACATTGTTAGTTAATTTCACTTTTTTTTAACTTTTAAAAATGAGGCTACCAGGAAATAAAAATTACTATGTACTTCATGTTACAATTTTAATCTGATATAAAGGCCAACAGTGGAGTGGCTGGCTGTCGAGTTTTCCGGTTGTGAAGTGACAATGACTTGTGGGTTTTTCTGCATCTTCTAATCTGTTTAGGCAAAGGATGTTAGTTTCTTGTGCATTACATGAAGGTCCCAAGAGTCTATGGAATTTTCTCAGGTCCTTCCAGGAGGGCCCTTTAGAAGGATGGCAAGGCCCCCACAAGGATTGAAATTCCAGATTCCCAGGAGCCAGAGGAGGGTACCTAAAAAGCACCAGGGGTGCTGCAGATAAGACCCACAGTGACGGGAACAGTCTCAGAGGGACCCATTAACGTGCCCAGGAGGACGATCAGTTTTAAATTCCTGCAAGTCCAGGGAGCACCAGCGCTGTTCGTTGTCAGAGCACACTTGACTACAAACTTCCTCCTTCCCTCCCTCTGCTTCTTCCCTACCTGTTTCTGGCCTGGGGAAGTCGGAAGAGAGGAAATGGTGCTGGCAAAGAGACAGGAGCCTGCCATACCCACTCCACCCTCTCATGCTGGCTTTCTAGCTACAGCCTTAGGAGGCCTGAGCCAGAGTGAGGGGAAGCCTCAACCTGAAATCAGTTTCAGAGTTTCGGTTATCATTAGATTGAGATTGTGTAATTTAAACCAGATTAGAAAAGTTACGGGATTTACTAATCTTCAGAATGGATTTTAAAAGACAGGAGACAAAGATAATGTTGCTTTATGAATACATCCTGTGAGTTGGTGTATTCAATAATGGTAACATGCAAGTGTGAAAATATTTGCTAGGTTAGAAAGCTTGTAAAGTATTCAAAGCTTGTAAAATACACAATTTAATATAAATCTGAAACATTTTCTTCATTTGTTTTCCTTTCAGTGGCTCTAATAGTCTGGATACTCAACTAAGATTCAATTAATTTAGACATAAAACAAAATCCATAAACTATTAATAAGTAGCATATTTTTTCCAGTTTTGATTTTAAAGTAACTTTCTACCCCTTTTCTTCCACTTCACTAATGAGCTTATAATGAAAAACTAATTTGAATATGCCATCATTTCTTAGGGTTGCAGATTTCTTGGAGATATTTCTGATTTCTGAAATCCAAAGAGTACATGGAGATTTTGATTTATTCAGAATTGCCAGTTGGAATAGGCACATCACAATAAACAACTTCCTGTTCTTTTGGAGCTACAGGAGAGATTTCCACTAACAATATGATTCCTTCCTTCTTCCACTTAAATAGGAGTCATCTTCTCTTAAAGAGAATCGTAGCGCATGAGTCATATTCCTCCATGAAAGGTAAACGAAGCCTGTAGCCCAGAACGGGGCACAGAGTATGCTGGCATAAGCTTGTGGGAATGCTCAGAGCTTAGAGGAAGTTTACATCATGCTGAACAAGGAAAATTAAATATCATAGCTCTGAGCACAGTGAAAGTAAGCTTTGCCAGAAAGAAATTTCCTCATCATTCTTAGTACTAAGTCAGGAAAGACTACAACTTTATGATGAAAGTCAGCTCTCTCCTGTACCATCTGTCTCCATTCTCACGTGTCATTCCTGCTGTTTTCTTTTTTGTCCCATTCTGGGAATTCTGTTCATTGGATAAAGTTTCTCCTACACTGAGCCCCTAACTTTCTTACAGTTCTATTTTCCTTTTCTTACTCCCCCCCCCCCTTTTTGATTTACTTGCTGAAATTTCCCATCTTCCACACTTTTATTTTCTTATTACATATATTTAATATCAAGGACCTTGTTGTTTTTTATTGGATACTTTTTTCTGCTATGATAGTCTTTTTCATTTCTTAAATATATCTCTTTGAAGCTTTCTTTTGTTCCTTACAGTGTCTCCATTTCCTCTGAAGTCTTTTTCTCTGGTTTCATCTTTGTCTTTCATGGGACAGCAATGTTTTGCAAACCTGGATTGGAATCACCTGATTTAAAAAAAAAAAAAAGAATTATGAATACTGATTCCTAGGCCCTATCTGAGGCTGTTTAAGCCATACATTTTATTTTACTTAAGTACCTGGGAGGCCTTGACTAATCATTTGTATTAAAGTGAGTTATTAAGTTGGTGATTGGAATCCCTTTTACGGCTTACCAACTGGTGTGAGCACAGTTGGTGTTCAGGTGGGACTGGCTGCGTGAAGTGTATTTGTAGGTCATTTCACTTGGATTTGGTTATTTTTCCCTAAAGGGGAATCTTTCTGGGCTCTCTTTGGGAAGCTGGTGTCAGTGACTAGAACTGGGAGCCAACAAATGTGGTAGCAGTGTTTGGAGATCTAGAGAGATCTCATCTTTGGGGTGCAGACTTTGATTTCAATCCCCTCTTTTCATTTGGGCCCCTCACCTGCCCTGGGCTGTTTGTGGTGTCTAGGGGTCTGTTCCAGCCTTTCCAGAGAACAAGCTCCAGTCTGCCCCCCCAGGTAGGGGAAAGAGTGGCCTGGCCAAAACCAGTAGCAGCCTCATATGTCTTTGTTTTTTCTCTGTAATATGTTGGCATACCTCACTTGTTGGCCTCTCCTTGGTTTTTCATTGTCATGGGTTTTCCTCTTTTTTATGCCTTCATGAATGTTTTTCACATTATATGAATATCAGTTCTTTAAAGACTAAAATTAATACTTTGGGAGAAAATACCACATGTGTTATAACAAATAGGTTGTTAATAAATGGCCATATGTAAAAATGGTTGCCACTTTTATATTATTCTACCAATAATACATATGGATAGAACACAAACAGAAGTCCCAAAATATTGTTTTGCTTTCTATTGTCAGAAAGAGAAGTTGACTAAATGACTTTTTAAGCAGGGAGGCTTGTCTGGGACTTCTGGATACCTTTTTATAAAAACTGCTTTTTTCATTTTTGATGTTTTATTGTTTGTGCTATTACAGATACCCCAATTTTTACCCCTTCGCCTCCTTCAACCCAGCTTGCCCTCATTTCCATCGTCAGTCCCCACACCGTTGTCCATGTCCATGGGCATGTTCTTTGACTAAACCCTCCGCGTTCCTTCCCCCAGTCCCCACCTCCTTCCTCCCCTCTTACAGCTGTCAGTCCATGATGTCTTACCTCTGGCTCTATTTTGCTCATTAGTTTGTTTTGTTTATTAGATTCCTCTTATTAGTGAGATCTTACAGTGTTTGTCTTTCACCGACTGTCTTATTTCACTTAGCCTAATAGTTTCCAGTTCCATCCATGCTGTTAATTATAGTTTTCATACGTTATATTATTTTCATGTGTGATTAGATGTTTATATATCTTATGAAGTGAGCACCCTTATAAGTCTAGTACCAATCTGACACCATACTAAGTGATTCGTAAATTAACATGTTCAAAAGTTTCCAAGATAATCTGAAAGGAGCAATGAGAGGAGACTTGTCCAGCCAGTGAAATGGAACAGTATGGTATTGTCATCAGAGTAGATCATTGGAAAAAAAAAAATTCAAGTTTCAACACAGATACAAATATACAAAAGATTTTAACGTATACTAAGGTTGCATTTCAATTTAACGATAAAAGAATTAGATGATTCTAATGTCTAGTTTTGAAGCAACTGACTAAACATCTGGGAAAACCAACTTAGATCTTTTTATTTTATTCTAAAATTAAATAATAATTTTTAAATTAAAGACTACTAAAAGAAAATATAGGTAATTAACTAATTGTATACTTATACAGGGCAGGGCAGAAGTAGGTTTACAGTTGTGAGTACATGAAACACAGTTTATTGTTGTCTTCCATATGAACAACTGTACACATACTTTTGCTTCATCCTGAATACTCTTGCGTAAGAGGAGCTTAACCATGGCACCAAAGGTGGAAATCATTAAGGAAAAGATTGGTAGGTTTGAATATTTACAATAAAAACTTATACTGAGAAGAACAAGAAGTTATTAAAATGTGCTGACAAATGACACATTGAGAAAATAGAGTCATATAGCAAAGGAGATTATCTTGCTCAACCAATAGAAGGCTACATATGTGAGTAGAAGAATGAGCAAAGGATATAAATAAGCATTCCACCAAGAAATTGCAAATTTTTATACTATTATTGGTAATGGCAGTGCTATTGGTAATCAACAAGACAGAAATTTAAAAAAACTTAGGATTGCTGGTCAGGATGGCAGCATAGGCAGACATGGCTCACCTCTTCACATAATATCAAAATTGCAACTAAAATACAGAACAGTCATTACTCAGAACCATTGGAAATCAAGTTGAATGGAAGTCTGACAACTATGGTATTAAAGAAACCACATCCATCCAGACTGGCAGGAGGGGCAAAGATGCAGGACAGGCTGGCCCCACATCCGTGTGTGCTAGATGAAAAATCGGGAGGGGTATCTCAGGAGAGAGGAGTCCCAGCCCTACACCAGGCTTCCCAGTCCAGGGTTGCGGTGCCTAGAGGAAACTTCTGGAGTCCCAAGCAGTTCCCCTTAAAGAACCAACACAGACTTACTCAGACTCACTCCCTCTGAGCCTCAGCACCGGGGTAACAGCTTAAAACGGACCAGTGGCATATGGGGAGGAGCTGAAGTGTCTGGCATCAAGGCGAGAGCTGGGGGGACAGTTTTCTCTCAGAAAGGTGAGCAGAGAGCATTATTCCTTTCTCGGCCCTCCCCCCGCAGAGGCACGGACCTACCTGAGACTCCATCAACCTGGCTTACACTGTTTGCCCCACCATGGAGATTCCCTGAGACTTCCTTGAGACTCAGTCCCACCCAACTTATGGGCCCACCCAAACTGTTAGCTGTGACTTTTCCATATGAATGGCTGCTCTTGGCTCAGGCTTCACAACTTCTTAAATCCGATCAAACAAGCAACAGCTGGCCTCAGTGAATCCCCAGCCCCCATACCTCATGCTAAGTGGTCCTAGGCTTGGCTCTAGCAACAGCCAGTGTAGATTTACAGTTTGGCTTCACCTGGGAACCGCTAAGCCCAGCACAGGTAGCAGCCATCTCAGATTGCTTAATAGCTCAAGCAGGGCAGTCCCAGGCAGAAAACAGGCGAGGGATGATCTTGGCCTGCGTCTCCTCGGAAATCCCAGAGCCTGCAGACAATGTTGGAGACACCCTGCCTCTGCACAGCTGTTCTTCCACGGAGGGCATAGGTTGGTGGTCAGTGGTCACAGCCAGTCCTTGTAGCCGACTGGCCTGGGCAAATCCCTCCCATTGATCTGCCACGAGCAAAAGTCTCAACTGCAATAGGAGAGTGTACTCAGCCCACACAAAGGGCGCACCTCGAGTATCCAGCTTGGGTGAGGGGAGGCTGTGAGACAGGACACCTGCTACATTAGGCCACACTACCAAGACAGGGAATCCAAGCAGCTCCACCTGATACATAGAGGCTGCCAAAATGAGGAGACAAAGAACCATGGCCCAAATGAAAGAACAGATCAAAACTCCAGAAAAAAAACTAAACAAAATGGAGGTAAGCAATCTATGAGATGCAGAGTTCAAAACGCTGGTTATAAGGATGCTCAGGAACTTAGTGAGGTCCTCAACAACATAAAAAAAGATCTAGTCAGAAGCAAAAGATTCACTAATTGATAATTGAAATAAACAGTTACGGGGAAACAACAGAGTGGATAAAGCTGAAAATCAAGTCAATGATTTGGAACATAAGGAACTAAAAACAACCAATCAGAACAAGAAGAAGAAAAAAAGAATCCAAAAAAAAGGATAGTGTAAGCAGCCTGTGGGACAACTTTAAGCTTTCCAATATCCATCATAGGGGTGCCAAAAGGAGAAAAATGAGCAAGAAATTGGAAATCTGTTTGAAAAAAAAAGTGAAAGAAAATTTCCCTAATTTGGTGAAGGAAATAAACATGCAACTCCAGGAAGCACAAAGTGTCCCGAGCAAGATGGATGCAAAGAGGCCTACTCTAAGACACATCATAATTTAAATGCCAAAGGTTAAAGATAAAGAGAATTTTAAAAGTAACAAGAGAAAGGCAGTTAGTTACAGCTGATTTCTCAAAAGAAGCTTTGCAGGCTAGAAGGGATTGGCAAGAAATATTCAAAGTCATGAAAGGCAGGGACCTGCAGCTAAGATTGCTCTTCTCAGCAAAGCTAACATGTAGAATTTAAGGGCAGATACCGAGCTTCTCAGACAAGAAAAATCTAAAGGAGTTCATCATTCTTAAGCCCTTATTATAGGAACTTATTTAAGAAAAAGAACATCAAAACTATGAATAATAAGATGGGAAAAAATACAAGTCAACAATTGAATCTAAAAACCAAGCTAAAAACAGAACAGAGACAGAATCATGAATATGGAGAGCATTTTGATGGTTGCCAGATGGGAGTGGGGTGGGGAAATGGGTGAAGAAGTGAGGGGATTAAGAAATGCAAATGTGTAGTTACAGAATAGCCACGGGGATGTAAAGTACAGTACAGGAAATGGAGCAGTCAAAGAACTTTCAAGTATGACCCATGGACATGAACAATGGTAGGGGGATTGCCTGAGGGAATGGGGGTACTGGGTGGAGCAGGGACAACTAATAGCAAAATCAATAAAAAATCATTAAAAAAATATAGAGAATATTCCTTGCACTTCCCTTAAATTATTTTCACTCTTGGCAAGTCAGTGGGAAAATGGGCACCCTGTACACTGGGTGTTTTGTTTCTGTATGGCAATCTGATAGTATGTGTCAAAAGCCTTAAAAATGTTTCTTCTGACTTGGTAATCCCACTTTTAGGAATTGAGTTAAAGGAAATACTAGGAAATGTGCTTCCAAGTATGTCGTAACTGTGTAAGCTTATTCACAACAAAGCTTTTTATAATTATGAAATATTTAAAACATTCAAATGCTAATATTACATTGTGTCTATTCAGTGTAATATGCCATACAACTAAAAAATAATGTATATGTACTTATTACTATGGAGAGATATATGCATAATATTTATTAAATGAAAAGAGCTGATTATAAAATATCATGTACATTATACATTTTTTTTTAAGATTTTTTTTATTTTTAGAGAAGGGGAAGAGAGGGAGAGAAATACGGAAGTGGGAGAGAAACATCAGTTGGTTGCCTCTTGCATGCCCCCAGCCAGGAACCTGGCCTGCAAACCAGGCATATGCCGTGACTAGGAATGGAACCAGCTACCCCCTGGTTCATAGGCCAGCACTCAATCCACTGAGCTATACCAGCCAGGGCCATCTTTTTTTATATAAAAGATTTATGTGTATTCATGTACATAAAATCTGAAAAGGTATATGGATAGCTAACTTTTGTTGAACACTTACTAGGTTTCAAATACAATGCTAAGACTTTACACGTAACGGACCCAAGATATTAGCAGTGCGATCTTTGGATGATAGAATTTTAAGAAGTTGAGGGTTTCTTTTTTTCTTTTTACTTCTCTACATTTCCTAACTTTTCCATAATGATTAGTCATAATCCTGTTTGAAAATTTGTTGCTTAAATTTTTAGCTTTGACTGTAATTGAGTCCTTTGAGAAGGCTTGCATGGTCCTGTAAAAAAAAAGATCAAAAGCTTAGGAATAAATGTTCTCACGGCATTAACTTGAACAAGTAACCGTATCTCTTGGGTTTTATGTTTTCCCTTATAGACCAGAAGAGTTAAAATACGCAGGCGCCTTTGAAAAAGGAGCTGTATCTACAATAGTAGTAATTGAATTATAATATTAGACATTTGAAAAACTCTCTTCATGTTATACATACCATCTGGAATGTGATGAAAACCAGTGGATATTTGTGCTGCTTTTTCCCCCCAAGTCCCTGGGAATTGTTGCTCAGAACTCATAGAACATGTTGAATATGTAATTATGGTCAGATGAAGTTAAAAATTGATCTAAGAGATCTTAATTAGAAAAGCTGTGTCATCATCCTTATCGACAGTGGTTTGTGTTTTTATTTTGCAGATATCAAATCTCAAAATTAAATGCCTTCTCCCTGTTTTAGGTCAGTTGGTGGTGTGTACTTTATGCTCCTGTGTCATGAAAACGAAGCAGATTTGGCTCTTTTCTGCGCACATGCTTCCTCTGCTAGCACGACTCTGCCTTGTTCCTCTGGAGACAATTGTTATCATCAACAAATTTGCTATGATTTTTACTGGATTGGAAGTTCTCTATTTTCTTGGGTCTAATCTTTTAGTACCTTATAACCTTGCTAAGTCTGCATACAGAGAATTGGTTCAGGTAAGACTGACAACCACACACACAGGTAGATAAAATTCGATGTAAGTGTTATGTATTTTAAAGATTTAGTTCACTTTTATTTCACAGTCCTGGCCATGGTAACATTCTGTTTGATGGTTTCAAGATAGCAACTATTTTCAACCCAGCTAGGAACATCTGAAATTCTCAGGAAATTCTGTTGAGTGGCAGTAAGGGGAAGTGATTTCTTTGGGTTTTTACTTGTGCTGCTGTGTACTAGCTGTGTAATACAAATTTATATATTTTTTCCTTTGAATTCAATCTCATGGAGCTAACCTAGTTTGTAAAAAACAGTAGATGTTGAGTAAGTATTGATGGGATACTGTTTATTTAATCACCATAAGGACAAAGCCACCATTTTTCAATGTCAGGTTTACGCTCTTGGTTGCCCTAAGATTCATGCATCACTTGGTATTGTAATTGAAAACACGTTATAGATTATGAAGTTCATGGCATGGAAAGAATTTGATAGGCAAGAAGTGAAAACTGTCAGGTTTTTAAGTGGTCTGTTCCTTGAATGGAGAGGAGGAAAAGTAGTCTTTACCTCTGAGTGACCAGTTTGCTGCCAATAATTTACAGCTAGTTGAGCAATTTTCCTTTTTTCCCCCCTCCATTATTTTCCAGTCAAGGAAAGAGAGGTTACTCTTGACTAGATTTCCAGAAAAATTTGACTTCCAGATGAAAAAATTTTAAATTTAGAATAACCTGCAAGTCAGTGTATTTTAACTTAATACTTAAAGATCTTTACCTACCTAGAGAGATGCTAGTTAGAAACCAGAACAGCTTGTTTGTCCATGTTGTTTTAATTTAAGATCTGTATAGTTTATTGAAACATTACTTTGAGAATTCTGGCACAACCAGCTGACCACTTAGGTTAGAGCGTGCAGCCTGCCTGGGAGACCCTGTTGTGTTGCCAGGGTCTGGTCCCTGACTTGGTAACTCCAGAAACTTGGTCATGTTACGCTCATAGGCCAACTCAGACTGTGAGAACCAGTTGCATGAGAGATTGTTTTATAAACTGGGAAGCTAATTTATAGACTTAAAATAGATGTACTTTTTTTTAGGTGTACCTTGCTTCCTGGTGTTAATGCACTTGGCAAACCAAATAAAGAAATGCTGCATGATAAATACACAGTAGGAGCAAGGGGAAAACTTGTTAATTGTCAGGGCAGGTGGGGAATTATGCCAGTTATCTTGGCTTCACAATAGAGTAAACTTCTCCAATGATTATTCTGTCTTCCATCACTTTTTATCATCAGTGACATCCCTTAATAAACTGTGAAAAATTGTTTTATTTCATTTTTCCCTAGCCCCTCAAGCAGTGTTGCATCATTTATGCTCCTCCTGATCATTTTAATTAGATGTAAGTTAACGAGTCTCCTGGTGTTGCCTTTGATATAGTTTTACTCTGCATGTGACTGTCCCTGAACTGTTAGGGCAGTTTACTGTTGCTATTTGATGCGTGCAGATCAAGTGTTAATAATAAAAATCAGTACATTTTTAAAACATGCTGTTTGCTAACTATGTGTGTAGCGTTACCTTTAAAAGAATTGATCTGAAACCATCTTGCAATAAAAGCAATCCAGGTTTTTTTAAGTCCTTCAGAAAAAACTCTTGTGTTTAAAAGTCTTTATTGACATAACAAGATACGTTTTCCTATCTTATTTTCTTACTCAGGTAGTGGAGGTATATGGCCTTCTAGCCTTGGGAATGTCCCTGTGGAATCAGCTGGTGGTCCCTGTACTTTTCATGGTTTTCTGGCTCGTCTTATTTGCTCTTCAGATCTATTCCTATTTCAGTACTCGAGACCAGCCTGCGTCACGTGAGAGGCTTCTTTTCCTTTTCTTGACAAGGTAATTATAAGAGCATACCATACTGCACATACCCTTAGGACAACAAAACGGAAGCTAGGAATAGTTAAATTTTGCAAATTAACTTTTATCAGTCATATTGTAGTACTTCATATTTAATTAAAGATGGAATTTTCATTCAGTGGTTGCCTACGTCTGGTGACACAGGGCGGTGCTTATAGTATAATAATGGTGGTGCCTTTGGCTGCAGTGTGGACCAGAGTGCAGCAAGCGATTTGTAAAAAGGCATGGAGCAAATTGTAACAATATTTTTTCAATTTCAAGTTAAATTATTGGGTCAATAAAAGAAAAATGTTACCAAAAACAGCCATCCTTTATTCAGTATTTAATATGTGCCAGCCACACTAATAAATAGTTTTCCTCACACTTAATCTTTTCTGCAGTCCTGATAGATAGATGCCTTTGTTATCATCACTGTTGTGGAGCTGAGGGAGCTGGACCAAGGCACACAGGGGACACTGCTGAAAGCAGCAGCGCTGACCCTGCGCCCTTCTGAGCTCACGCCCTGTGACTTACCTCTGCCCTTCACTGTGCCCTGTTACTTTTAATGTATTACTTCATCACAGAGCGAGAGTTAGATAACTGGTGAAATGGGTATATTATTTTAGTACTATACTGTTGAACACAAAGGAATTCTGACTTGGTTTTTAATGTTTAGTATGGAAAAAAAAGTCATTGGAGACTTTTCCCACTTCACTGTCTTTGCTGTGAGCTTATGCTAGATCCACGTTTGTCAGTTTTCACTCTGGGTTTGAATCCCAAACCCTCAGAATCTATCGCAAGGTACACATCTTTGTTTTCTGGCTCATTGTCACTTTAAAAGGCAAGAATGAAACTCCTCCTGGAAAGTAAATATAAGTGGGTAAAAGTCTTGAGTTTTAGTTAATAGAACCGTTGTTTTTCAGCCATCCAAAATGATGGAATATTGTGTACAAAGTGGTACAAGGAATGAGAAGTTCAAGACAAATTTATGGTCCTTAAGGAGCATGTTATTTGTTAAGATTCAAAGTGTTATCCAAGGTTAAATATTAATAAAAGGCAGTACCTTTCTTAACAAAAAAAGTAGAATAAACTTACACTGAGTCAGATTTTGTCTTTTTGGAAGTAAAACTTAAAATTGAGAAGTAGCTTCTATACACATGCAGTAAATTGATATCAAACACATTTTAATTCCCTATTATTTACTAAGTTTTACTGCTCTTTACTTTTACGTAAATGTTACAGAGTTTTTATGAAGAATTTAAAAATAATCCAAAAAGTAACGGAATTTAAAGAGAAAGAGATAAAACCTGGTGGTTAGAATAATAACCTGTGGTTCTGGGGCTGGCTGTGTTTTAAACCAGATTGTTATACGGTGTAAAGCACAGTTGAGTGAAGTATAGCATAGTGGAGTGAATAGGCTCAAAAACCAGTAAGTAAGCTGTGAAGGCATTTGGACTTAGTTACAAAGTAAGAAAATAATACTGAGGTCTTAGGTGAGGTTTAGATATATTGCCAAACAAATTTTTCTCTCTATTACTTTTTTTATATGTAGGATAAATTTCCCCTCAAAATAAGAATGCTTTAATTGGGTTTTTAATAGAGAGGTTCCCACAGGGCTCTTTGCTTAATTTATCTCTCTGCCAGCATTGTTCTTTGGCCTTTTTGCTGCTCTTGTGAGCCAGGTTCTATTTGTGTGTTGCCTTGTCAAAGAACAACTTATTTACAGAAAGGAGGATTGCAGGTTTACAAGATCACTGTGACTAAACAAACTGACAAAAAGCATACATAAACTGGGGGAAAAAAGAAGTCTCTTTTGCAGCTAAAAAATAGAAACTAAAAATCAATAAAATGTCTCATTGAAGAGAGAGGGGAAGAAAAAGTTTTATAAACTTCCCTAACTCTTTCACTTCCCCAAAGCTAGGTTGAATTGAAATGTTTTGTTTTCTTTAGTACATTCTCTTTTGAAAAAAATAACAGCACATTCTTTTCTAAAGTAAGAGAAAAATAAAATGATTAAATCATATTCCTAGGGTATAAAAGATTTCTTTAAATGTGGAGGCAAAAGTAGTATGGATCTTCACTAAAACTTTCAGATTTCCAATGAGAACTAAGTAAATTTTTAGTATTATTTTTAGCCATGATTTTCCTATTTTTCAATTACTGGACAGTTTGTTTAAACAAATTATTTTCTCTGAGAAAAATGTCAAACATTTTAGAAATTAGATTTGTAAATGCCATAAAATTATTTATTTTAGCTATCAGCCACCATGGTTGGTAATATTTTTCATTCCTAACATAAAATAGTATACATAGGTCTGTGTAAAATTAGATACTTGCTTGTGAGTAGCTGTATAGTAAGGATAACTACGTAGCAGACGCAAAGGCCTATCTAGGGAGCCAAGGACAGGTGTGTTTCCCCTGAATGAATCCCTAATCCATCCGAATGAAACTCTTCCCTACACTTCTGGAACTGAAGATACAGTGCTTTGAACATTTCTTAGTTGCTGTGTAAATGCTAAATCCAAATTATGGGTACATAATATTACATATATTTGCAGAATACTTGGCAGTAAGTTACTGTGTAATATGTTCAGTCAGATACTTGCATAAAACATGAAAGCATTTCCAAGCTTTAGTGTAAGACCTTCCTGTTGCCCTTCTAAGTGGTATTCATAGCAAATTTTTATGTTAAATCTTGATACTAAAATTATTTTTAAATGGATTTAGACTATATTTTTGGACATGCTTTTGAAATAACCCAGAATAAAATGAACTTATCTAAACCTAAATTAAATTAAGTTTAAAGCACCTCTGGAAGAGGCTGTTGAACTGAGGTGAGATGAGTCAGCCTGCAAAGTCAGCACAGACCTGCCCCGTGGCAGTTTGGTCGAATAAGGCATTCCGACTCGTCACCGCAGTAGCAGTACAGTCAGAACAATTTGAACAGCCAACATTTTCCAAAAGCAGCAGTGGACGACTACACATGTTTCTTTTGAATATTACTAATATGTTAATTATGTGTTTCTTAAGGTTTGAACAAAATTTAAACCCTTAGAGTTTTAAGGAGATGGTGCATTTGAAGGATGGTACATGAATAAAAATAAAGATTTTGTTTCATGTATGGTGCTGTGTACTGAATATTTGCCAAACAAGTAGGAAAATGTAGGATAGGGTAATAATAAGAATGGATTTAAATAATTAATAGACTGATTAGGAGACATTATCTGAAATTTTAGTTTGGAGTGTTTTAATTAATGAAGATCAAATCAAATTTGGTGTTAAATTATTTAAAAGCTTAAGATGTTTTTACTCCAAATGGAAAATTTTTATCTGTCAATATTTCCTCCTCTCTCCTAGCATTGCCGAATGCTGCAGCACTCCTTATTCTCTTCTGGGTTTGGTCTTCACGGTTTCTTTTGTTGCCTTGGGTGTTCTGACACTGTGCAAGTTTTACTTGCAGGGTTATCGAGCTTTCATGAATGATCCTGCCATGAATCGGTAAGTTCTTAACTCTGAATATCTCTATAAATTGTAATCTTATATATAACTTGAAGAAGTAATAATAAATATTTTTGGTTGTAAAATTTGGATTAAAATACTGTTAAAAATAATTAAATTCCCATGTGTAAAAGATGATGTATATAACTGCATATTGGATACCTATTTTCTAAATTTCTTTTAGAAATATTTGATAGCTGTTTTTTTCCATTTGAAGTATATAGTCCTGTTAAAATCAGGTTTCTATTTTTGATACTTTCTTAAAGTTTTAATATTTGAACATAATTTTGATACTAGTCAAAAGTTTCAAAAGATGCGTTAATAAGAACACAGAATAGTTAATTGAATGGTTATTTAATCACTGAGATCTGGTATTGGGAAACCTATTTCTAGAACTTGTCATGATTTCTGTTAATTTAACATAAGAGTTTCATGGTTTCATTTGTGTAAGTTTATATAACCTTTTCTTAAACTCTAAATTTTTATTAGTTATTTCAGAATTAGTAGATGGTGAGTACCTTGTAAATTACATGGGAGGACTTTTTTTTAAAAGATATTATTTATTTTTTAGAGGGGGGGGAGAAAGGGAGAAAGAAAGGGAGAGAAACATCGATGTGCACGAGACATTGATTGTTGCCTCTTGCACACCCCCAGATGGGGACCTGGCCTGCAGCCCAGACATGTGCCTTGACTAGGAGTTAAAACTGGAAGCCTTTGGGTGCACAGGCTGATGCACAATCTACTGAGTTACACCAACCAGGGCAGTGGGTTTTTTTCCTTTTTTCATGACGGAGAGTTTAAAAACCTATGCTCAATATTCCTGCCAGTCCCAGCTAACACCTTTGTAATGGAAAAGACGGGGGTGGGGTAAGAAAGAAGAATGATTCATGTCTAAATTCACAAAATTTATACCATTCAAAAAAGCACAAAAAGGAAAGCGACATCTCCCTCCCCCTACTTCCCATTTTTCTCCCCCAAGGTAACAGCTATAGATGGTTATTTTAAAATTTTGTTTTTTAAATATTACCCCCTTCTCCTTTTTTAAAGATTTATTTTTTCAATTTCACTTTACATACAGTATTAATTAGTTTCAGGTGTACAACATAATGATTAGAAATTTTTATGCATTATGAAGTGTTCACCCCAGTAAATCTAGTACCCCTCTGACACCATATATAGTTACTGCAATATTAACTGTATTCCCTCTGGTTTACTTTGCATTCCTGTTGCTATTTTAAAATTTCTTATAGGGAAAGGTACATACACATATATACTTTTTGGTTCTTTTCCACATACTATAGACACTGTTGTATATCTTATTGTTTCACTCAAATGTATCAGATAGTGTTTTGTTTTGTTTTTTTAATGTCAACCCATACATACATCTCACTCTTTTCAGTGAAAGCATAGTATTCCAAAATATGGGTTTATCTCTCTTGTTGTTGTTAACAGGTAATTCTGTTACGAGTATCATTATACACGTCTCTTGTTTTTAAGCCCTTCATCAGGCAAATTTCAAACCAACAAAGCAGAGAGAATAGTAAAATACACCTTTATGTACCTGCCGCCCATCTCCAATAACATGGGCAGTCTTGTGTCAGGCCTGCCTCTGTAAGCTCCGCCCCCGTCTCCGCGTCCACGGCCCCTGCTCGCGTTCGCTTGGAGTGTATCTCGGCTATAATATCATTTTACCTATAAATATTTCATTTCAATCTGTAAATCTTTCAAAAAAACATAACTACAAGAGAATGTTTATTCCTAATGAAAGAGTTCCTTGACATCAAATGCCAGTTGGTGTTCAGATTTTCTGACTATCTAAAATGTTTTAAAACATTTTGTTTGACCAACTTAAGAGCCTAATAAGACCCAGATTGCAATGGCTTGAAAAGTGTCTTAAGTCACTTGTAACATTTAGATCTCTGCTATCTCTGTACTGTTTTCTTTTATTTTATTATTTGAAGACACCAGACAGTCCTTCTCCATTTTTCAGAGTCTGGATTTTGCTGATTGTGTCCCCGTGATGTCATATAACATGATCCATCATCCACTCTATTTCCCCTGATACATGTATCTTAACTTTTGTAGTCTTATTCATAGGAAAAATTATTTCCAGCAAGTTTATTGAGTTGAAGGATATGTTCCTTTTATATTTCATAGCAATTTTTTCTCCAGAAAGGTTTTATCTGTTTGTATCTCATGATGTAAATATGTATAATTCATTGCATACCTAAGAATGGTAGAGGTATTTTGTTCATTATCATAGTCCGGTTAGAACACTTTTATTTTGGAAGTTTCTTTTTTCCTCTTGTATGCTAAAGTAGTAGCTATTAGGTTTTACACATATAGTGATACATTATGATTGTGTAGTATCACATTGATCTTACATGATAAGTTAATATTCTGATCAGGTTTTTTTATTTTTGTCTAGTGATCACAAATATGTAACAACAGTCTAAACCTTTAGGTTATTTTTCTGTTGGAATTAGATTCTGATTATTGTTTGTTTTTCTGAAAATGTATGCTTTTTAGGGGCATGACAGAAGGAGTCACGCTGCTAATCTTGGCCGTGCAGACGGGCCTGATCGAACTACAGGTTGTTCACCGGGCATTCCTGCTCAGCATCATCCTTTTCATTGTTGTAGCTTCTATCCTGCAGTCTATGCTGGAGATTGCAGACCCTATTGTTTTGGCACTGGGAGCATCTAGAGACAAGTAAGAAAATTCCTAAAATAAATTTTTGTAATATGCTTTACATGAGTTTGTTGTCTGAAGATTTAGATACAGTTTTAGAGGCAGAAAATGGTAGAATAATTGGTATTAGCTTAAGTTAACAACTTTACATTTCTATTTTTTTAATATGGCTGACTTATCTGTTGTTTTCTCTCTCAAGATTCCTATAGCTAAAAGTCACATCAAAGGCCATGTATTACAAATCAACTTTTCTTCATAGAAATTTAGTACTTTTTATATTTTCCCAGTTTAGAAATGAAGAACAGAGCATAAAATTTAGTCTAATAAATATAACAAATAATATATCATTTTATTCTTTGTTAATGCTAAAGGAGAGAAAGCATTGAGAGAAATGTAAATGAATGAAAAAGGCTATGAGGCAGTCATAGAATAGACGTTTACGGAGAAACAGCCTCATTGGACAGGCTTTGGACAGGCTTTAGACAGGCGGGGCTTGCTGAGGCCATAACAGGATTCTCAGCACCGCATGGTGCCAGGTAAGATTATTTTCTGGATTCCTGTTCATTCATCTCATATTATGGAAATTTTAAGGAATAAAAGTCAAATTATTATTTAGCTCTTTAGGATACTGTTTTGGCTTCTTATAGGTTATACAGGAACATTCTATAAGGAATGGCTTAAAATTCTGTGCACCTACTTTTTCCCAGCATCTCTCTACACTGATTATTGATTATTGAAATACCTGATTTTATTGCTGCGTTGGTAGTGTTTAATGAGTAAGGGAGCAGGTAATGTTGTGGGAGATAGACTTTTCACAGCAGATTTTAGACATTTCATATTAGCATTTTATTATAGTTTGTCAGATTTATCTTTTTATCCCCAGATAAGAAACCTTCTAAGGTTTCTTAGAAGCATTTAAGGTGTTGAACTCAAAGATGAACTCAGGTAATAGCCACCTAAAGATTGGGTTGTTTTTGACTTAGTACTATTTTGTCATCTCTGGAAATACCTTTTGACATTAATTAATTATTAAGCGTATATTAATAAGATGAAGATAATACTATAGAAAGTTTAGGCAAGAGAGGAAAAATACATAATTCCACTGCATCGAGCTTTTATTGAATTTTAACTGCTTAAATAAGAAGACATATATATGTATAATACACACAAAAATTAGACACAAATTTAAAACTGCATAATGTATGTACTTTCTGTGTAGGTATGTAAATATATATAATTGTGTGTATATGTAAATACATTATTACTTCATATAAATGGGTCATAGCTTGATTTTGAAAAATAGTTTTAACGCAAATCATCCTACTAAAGAAAATGATTTAAAATTTCACTCCTAGCATAGTGTAACTACTGTTACAGTAATTTCTTCCTGCCTGCCTTTCTTTAAAAAATTTATGTTTTGAATCTCAAAGGAGGACTATTGACAGGTTTATTTTTGTCCCTTAACTTCTGATAATAGAAATGTGGCAAGAAACAATGTAAAACACTTTCCAAAGGTACCTAGCTTTAATTTTTACCATATTGACAATTCAGTTTCTTTTCTGACTTGCTAATTCAGATGGTCCCACACAGTATAGCACTCACTTAACTGTGTGTGGTCACTTTTCCTTCCGTCTATATTATAAAGGTAGGAAGGATGATTTATGCTACATTTTTTGTCTCCTTGTGATGTGATGCTTTACATAGAGAACATATTACAGATGCTGATATTTAATTAAAACAGCTTAGTTCCATTGCAGACATAAACTGCAAACTATTTTGGTTGAAATCCACATTTCCTCATAGGATTTTAAATAATCTGGGTTCACGTTTTATAAGAAATGATTAAATAATAATTTTAAGTCTCTATATTCAGTTGTTTTTAAGAAAGGGGATAGCTATTTGGGGATCACGCTGACAACTTTCTAGATTTTTGATCACTATGTTAAAAAATTACACTAACTTTGGCTTTTACTTACCCAGGAAATGGAAGTATCTAGTATCTTTTTTTCCCCCCTTAATCCCTTGTGGAGGTAATAAGGCCCTACATCATCTACTTGCTTATAATTCGGGTAATTAGAGTAAGTAGTTCTATTAGTAAACTTGTAGGGGGTAGAAATCACCCCCTTTTTTTCTATTGCACACACAGATTTTTGTAGATTCTGCTTAAGGTAATTATTAGGGGTTTTGTACATTTATCTTTTAGAAGTTGGTATTCAATCTATATTAAATTCAGGTACATTTAAGGAATAAACTATTAAAATACTACAATGTATGAGGAGGAAAACAAAAGAAAAATTATGTTTCTTCTCCTGTGTGTAATTGCACTGTTGACAACAAGTAGGGTTCAAGTAGAATCAGAAACTGAAATCTAAGTCTAAAAGTTCTCTTGTTCTGTTGCGTGTCTTAAAAGCATAAAGTTATAATTGTGACTTCCTCTGTGCAGTAATTATTGATAACTTTTGTCCTGCTTACATCATGGGGCCTTGCACTTGGGTAGATAGATCAGTTGGTGAGAAAAGGTAATAATAATTGGAAAGTAATTTGAAAAATATCAAGCAGAAATACATTTTCAAGTTATATTTGGCACTTCAAACAAGCCTTTGTGCTTAGGAGCTGCTATATGAATAATGGGTTATTGTTCCTTATTCAAGGAGTTTAAATTTGGGCAGTAAGACTTTTGTGTGTGTGTGTGTGTACACATACAGGTATACATACATATATAATTTTTTAATATATTGGTTATGCTATAACAGGTGTCCCAATTTTCCCCCCTCTGCCCACCTCCACCCATTACCCCCCCCCCATTCCCTCCAGCAGTCCCCCTCCTTAGTTCATGTCCATGGGTCATGCATATAAGTTCTTTGGCTACTCCATTTCCTGTGCTATTCTTAACATCCCCATCTATTCTGTACCTACCAATTTGTACATCTTAATCCCTGCACCTTTCCCCCCAATCTTTCCCTTCCCCCCTCAACCGATAACCCTCCAAATGATCTCCATAGCTATGAATCTATTTCTGTTTTGCTTGTTTGCTTAGTTTGTTTTTATTTTCATTTTTTAGGGTCATGTGTTGATAGTTGTAAGTTTGTTGTCATTTTATTGTTCATAGTTTTGCTCTTTCTTAGATAAGTCCCTTTAACATTTCATATAATAAGGACTTGGTGATGATGAACTCATTTAGCTTTACCTTATCTGGGAAGCACTTTGTCTACCCTTCCTTTCTAAGTAATAGCTTTGCTGGATAGAGTGATCTTAGATGTCAGCTCTTGCTTTTCATGACTTTAAATACTTCACTCCAGCCCCTTCTTGCCTGTAAGGTTTCTTCTGAGAAATCAGCTGACAGTCTCATGGGAATTCCTTTGTATGTAACTGTCTCCTTTTCTCTTGCTGCTTTTAAGATTCTCTTCTTATCTTTAATCTGGGGTCTTTTAATTATATGTTTTGGTGTGGTCCTCCTCAGGTCCAATTCACTTGGTACTCTCTGAGCTTCCTGGACTTGGCATGTCTATTTTCTTCACCAAATTAGGGAAGTTTTCCTTCATTATTTTTTCAAATAAGTTTTTGGTTTCTTGCTCTGCCTCTTCTCCTTCTGGTACCCCTATGATTCAGATGTTGAAATGTTTAAAGCTGTCCCAGAGGTTCCTAAGCCTCCTCATTTTTTTGAATTCTTGTTTTTTCATTCTGTTCCAGATGAATGTTTATTTCTTCTTTCTCTTCCAAATCGTTGATTTGAGTCACAATTTCCTTCTCTTCACTGTTGGTTCCCTGTATGTATTTCTTTACTTCACTTTGCATAGCCTTCAATTCTTTCTTTATTTTGCATCTATACTCAATCATTTCTGTGAGCATCGTGATTACCAGTGTTTTGAACTCTGCATCTGATAGGTTGGCTATCTCCTCATCGCTTCATTCTTTTTCTGGAGTTTTGATCTGTTCTTCTATTTGGGCTATATTTTTTTTTTTTTTTGTCTCAGCGCATCTGTTATGTTGTAATGGGCAGAGCCTTAGGTATTCACCAGGGCCGGACAACCTGTGTGAACCAGATTGATAGAGTCTCCCAGATGGTGTCCCTGGTCTGCGGTTCTGTGTAGGGGAGGGCTCAGTAGGGGACAGTGCCACTGCCTGGCCTCTAGAGTTTTGTCAGAGGGGAAGCTGTTTCCAGGCATTTGTCCTGATGCCAGACACTTCAGTTTCTCCCCATGGGCCACTGGTGCCCTTCCATCTGCTGCCCTGGTGCTGAAGCCCAGAGGTCGTGAGTCTGTAGAAGTCCTAAGTCCATTGTGGGCCCTCTACAAAGAGGCTCCTGAGACTCCTGCAGTGTCTTCTTCCGTCCCCAACCCCACTGTTTCTATAGCCAGAGGTTAATGAGGACTTACCTTCCTGGCACTGGAACCCTGAGCTGGGTGGCCCGTTGTGTGGCGGGGACCCTCTGCCCCTGAAGTGCCTCCCCTGATTTTTGTCCCTCACACACGGGCGTAGGACTGCCCGTTCCGCATCTCTGCACCTTGCCTTGCTTCTCCGTGGCTCTGCGCCTCCTACTTATCTAGGTGAATGTGACTTCTTTAATTCCTTATTAGTTGTCCTTCCATACAGTTAAATTTTCTGATGATTCTGGGTATTTGTCTCAGTCTAGTTGTGATTTTTGCGGTGCTTGTATGAGGAGGCGAGGTGTGTTTACCTTCACCTCCATTTAGACCGTAAGTCTCTTCATCACATAAAATTTTTTGATAAAAATAAAAACATAAGTGAAAATATTTACAGATACAATATATAAATATCTATCTAATTGAAAAAATACTACGATTTAGTATGTGATTGGTACAGGTGTTAAGAATTCTGAGAGGGTAGGTGATTCCAGGATAAAGGATTTATATTACGTGTGTGTGTGTGTGTGTGTGTGTGTGTGTGTGTGTGTACATATATATATTTGTTTAGCTTGAGTTGGCTTAAAGTGTTTAGAAAAAGAGAGATTAGAGTGAAGACTTCGTGTTTTCCTGGGAACACAGCTAATTAATTAACCACATTTGCTTATAGTCAGAAATGGATGTGGACAGGCTTGGACCAAGAAATTGGGAATGAAGGATGTCAAATACCGGGCTAGGAAATTTAGAGAAGGCATTGACAGTATTATGCTAGTAGAGCCTTAGGAAGATGAACCTGGGTGGCAGTGCCCAGGGTAGATCTCCGGGGAGGAGCACCAGCTAGTAGGTCCTCTGACGCAGAGGTTCATGTTTTTCCCCAGCCGTAGCAGCTGTGAGGACTAGCACACCTGCTCATCAGAGAGCATTTGTCTTACTAACCCTGCATGCGTAGGAGCAGAGATGTGCACCACAGGGTGGAGTGGGTGGGAGATGATGGAATAGGACGTAAGAACTCAAAATACTGTTAAAATTGTTAAGGTTTAATGCTACAAGAGCCTGAACTTGCTTTCAAAAGGCTAGGACTGGGAATGAAACTGAAAGCATACTGTTGAAAAAAAAAGAATTGATGGGACTTGGCAGTTGACTGAGTGTGGAGGAAGGGAATGAGTCGTGCGGCTTGGAAACACCAGGTCTGCGCCACAGCTTGCCCTGAACTCCAGTGCCATGACCGGCGCGACAAAGGGCGTGCGGGGCGGTGTTTGCAGAGTTAATAAGCATGGCAGGCGCCCATCGGAGGCTCATCTAATGGTTGTGTTACTGCTAGGTCACAGGCACGTTAAAATCATTCTTTTTTTTCTCTAGGAGTTTATGGAAACACTTTCGTGCTGTGAGCCTTTGTTTATTTTTGCTGATATTCCCTGCTTACATGGCTTACATGATTTGCCAGTTTTTCCACATGGATTTTTGGCTTCTTATCATTATTTCTAGCAGCATTCTTACCTCTCTTCAGGTAAGCCTAGAATTAATTAACCTTAAATAATAGCTAATTTTCTTATTTTTGCTTTCAGAAAAGTAAGTAAACTTTTTCAGGATTTATGATTGGAAGTGGCCTGTTTAGGTGATTTCTTCCCACCCTCTTTACTAGAATATGTTACATTTATTTGAGCATAGAGGTTTGAAGGTAAGTTATTAAAATACTAGACTTGTCTTGCCACTTACTATTTTTTATCAAGGTAACTAAACTTCGTAATTTTCCTTTCTCAAAACGATATGGTACAGAGTTGTCCTGTAAGTTTTGAATTGATTAAATAACTGTCAAATGTAGTTACTATATGAAATACAGTGTTTGGGGCACCCGTTTTTTGTTTGTTTGTTTGTTTGTTTTTTAGTGAATACCCATTCAAAAACATCTATAGTTTCATGATGCATATAAATACATGATGGTGTATTATACGCACAGATAACAATATTGCCCTGAAAATGATAAATTTATTGTAATTTGAAGGTGGATCTTTGCCACCTGATCTGTAAGAAGTAAAAGAAAGTGCAGGACTGGCAGTAAAGATTTATTCATCGTTCCTTCAAAGTAAAAGTAAAAGTTTTTTCAAAGTTGAGGGTCAAGTATGACAGCAGAATTAGGAAAATTCAGATAGAGTTTTTATGGGTCTTGGTGACCTAGGGAATAAGAGGAAGGGAAGAGTCAGAGAAAACTAACTACCAATCAGAATCGTTTTAGGAAAGTTCTGTCTCACGGCATGGCTTTTTCCTATCTAATGCCTGGATTACTAAGATCACCATGTTTCAATTATACCACTGTCTCCTCTAGATATTAATACAGCATCCTGGAAGTGTTATGAATGTATTAATGTTTCAAGTCTATGAAGAATCTTCCTTAGTGGTCATATTTATTTTCAGAGAGAGGAAAAGAGGGAGAGAAGCATTGGTTGCTTCTCCCACTCACCCCTAACTGTGGCCTGGCTCACAGGCCGGTGCTCACGCCACTGAGCCACACCAGCCAGGGCTGATCCTATTCTGTTCTAATGCACATGCTTTTTATTTCAGGTTCTGGGAACACTTTTTATTTATGTCTTATTTATGGTTGAAGAATTCAGAAAAGAGCCAGTAGAAAATATGGACGATGTCATCTACTATGTGAACGGCACTTACCGCCTGCTGGAGTTTCTGGTGGCCCTTTGTGTGGTGGCCTATGGCGTCTCAGAGACCATCTTTGGAGAATGGACAGTAATGGGTTCAATGATCATCTTCATCCATTCCTATTATAATGTGTGGCTCCGGGCCCAGCTGGGATGGAAGAGCTTCCTTCTCCGCAGGGATGCCGTGAATAAGATTAAATCATTACCCCTTGCTACGAAAGAGCAGCTTGAGAAGCACAATGATATTTGTGCCATCTGTTATCAGGTAAGTTGCACAGTAAGAATCCGTTTGGGTGGGTCCTATGGTGTATCCCTTGGGACCTTAACCACATTAACCAGATTCAAGTTAAATTCTCAGGCAGAATTATCTCCTGGGTACAAAGAAAGTGGGCCCCAGAAATTACTAGACCTGATAAAATATTTCCATTTTATTTCTAAATTTTTAAATTTAGTCCCTTAAATTCTAATATATTGTTATTTTCAACATTATTGCTCACCCATAAATAAAGGAAAAACAGGTCAGGTGTATTTTATATTTTACTCCTGAACACATTTACACACACATAAATATATGCACCATCAAGTATATACTATCATTCGGGAGTCAGCAGCTTCTGAAAAGTGGTGTGCCAAGATTCTGACTCTTCCTTCTGGTATTCCCAGGGTGGGGAAAGAGGGTCTATTTACTTCATGTAGGAGGAGAGGGTACGTGGTTCCTGTGGGTTGATGGACGTCTGTTGTGGGTACAGGCCTCTCCATGCGGGGCCGGGCGGGGAGGCGTGGCAGAGGCAGCCAGCTGGTGTACTACTGCAGTCTTCCTGCCCTTCGTACATGCGCCATGTGGAGCCGATGATTGCCTTCTATTAAACATTGAAAGATGATATTTAAATCGGCTTGAAAATATAACAACAGAAAATAGGCCTAGAGTTTAGTCACCAGTCACCTGTGCAAGGGAGTGGTTGGGTAGCAGCTTTTACAGCTGAACTGTACTGTGGGAAGTGTAGACAGAAATTATGGGCAACAGCAGAAGCTGTTCCCTGAAATCACTCTTGGGGTGTGGGCTGCTGAGTATCAGTGGGGACACAGGGAGTGCTCTCCCTCCACGGCTGCGTGGCGGGTTCGATAGGGTGTGTGTGCACTTGTGTGTGTGTGTGTTTAAGACCATCTGGAGTAAGCACTTTTTTCTAAGCGTAAAGTGCAGTTAACCATTTTCTTTTGTTATTAGAACATACTTTTGGGTACTAACAAAATGACTTTTTTCAGGTTGTTTTTATGTTTGGGTGTGAGGCGTGTAAAGTCAGTTCCCCTGAGTTCAGTGGTCGTTGTTCTGGTCCTTTCTCCCTGGTGCTCAAGTACCTTGCTATATGCAGGACAGAGCGCAGCAATGACAGATTCAGGGCACATCAGCTTAGGGGCCTGTGTCTGAATATTCCACCTCTGGGATTTGAGTCCTCTTCTTATATTTCCTGTTGTCACATCACTTTTTTTGAGGTGCTCGAACTACCTGCTGATACCACACAGAAAATGAAAGTCCAATTGCTTAACTTCCCAGCTGGCTGCTTTTCCTTGGATGGCTTTCTGCTTAAAGTTGACTCCCAGGTGTTACCAGCTCTTGGCAAGGAATTTCTGCGATAGCCACAACTCCTTGTTTTGAGACTATAAACAAAATTAATGGTCAATTCACCAAATGTATTATCTTAAACTTAAACTTCATGACCTCAGCCTTCTTCCCCAAATGTGTCTTAAGCAAGGATGTTAATGCCGAGTGTAGCGCCTCGTCTTGCGTGGCCGTCAAACTTGAGTGTGCCGAACGTCACGTGGTAGCTTGCTGTAACTCTAGCTCTGTGAGTGCCATCTTTAGCTACCCTGATTCAGTCATCAACATCTGGCCCAAGAATATGCGTGGCTAGTAAACACTGTGGGTGACTCTGATGCAAGGTGAGAAACACTGGCTTATCCAGACCGTGTCTTGAAAACTGGATATATACATGGAAATTGAAATTGCCACTTCCTTGCCAATACCCTGGTGTTTTGTGGCTGATTTTTTCTACTTGCCAATAATCTCATCTTGGAATAATCTGTTCAACTGTGGAAAAGTCAGGTGTTCATCAGGTGTTCTGAGGTTCTGGCTACTGGGCCGCGCCGACGGGGCCCGGTAATCATACTGCTACAGGTGTGTGACCCTCGTGCTTCACACCAGGCAGGACCCGCTGAAAGCCTGGGTCATTTCTTCCTCATACTTGGTTTTTCCATATTTTTGAAATTCACTTAGCCAGTGGTTCTTGCATTATTTGTGTAAAGGGGGGGTCTCTGATGGCAAGAAGATTATTACTAAAATATAAAGTTTTATTCTAAGATCTGTATTACAGATTTTCTCTGGGGAACTTCTGGAAAAGAAATGTTCCAACTAGGACTTTTGGGGGTATCTGCAAAGGTTATAGGTAAGAGGCTTTTAATGAGGTATCTCTGTTCCCCCTTTCAGGACATGAAATCTGCTGTGATCACGCCTTGCAGCCATTTCTTCCACGCAGGCTGTCTGAAGAAATGGCTCTATGTCCAGGAGACCTGCCCTTTGTGCCACTGCCACCTCAAAAACTCCTCACAGCTTCCAGGGTTAGGGACTGAGCCGGCTCCTCAGCCTCCTGCTGGAGCTGAGCAAAACGTCGCACTTCAGGAAGGTACTGAACCCCCGGATCAAGAGCATCCTCAAGGGACCGGGACGCAAGAAGGCTCTAGGGACAGTAATGAGTGCATTGTCAGCGGATCAGATAGCCAGAAAGGGACTCGTGAGCCCAAGGAACGTGCTCTTAGTGCAAAAGCTGGAGCGTGTCCTGTCAGCGTCACCCCAGAAGAGACGCGGCAGGAGGAGCGCTGTGGCACTCCGAGGGGCAGTTAGCTCCCCGTGGAACCTGCGCTTAGATTGAGGAACGAAGGTATGAGGTGATTAGACAGGAAGCTTGACATTCCAAGGATCTAATCCAGGAAGTACTCTCAGTGGAGAGTACCTGCTTTCATGCCCTTGACATTGTGGGAGAAATTTTGCAATGTATGCTAATCAAAATGTATTTATATATATCCTGTGCTGATGTTTTGTAGAGGTTTGCCAAGGAAATTCAACCTCAACAACTTCAGAAACTGCCCCTGATGTGTAAGGGATAAATAAAATCAGATTCGAGTGTTTGAAAGGGGCTAAAAGGAAGACAAAGAGCATAAGGACAGTGGGATGAAGCAGGCAGAAGTGGAACTGACATGTTGCTTTCTGTGGGACAGGATCATTCTGTTACAGAATATGAGTAGTGACCAGCCCCTTTCTCCACCCGCTTTCCCTCAGCTAATTGGAGCTCAGTCTGGTGATTACTGAGTTTTGTATTGCATTGATTGAAATCAAAGATATAAAAGCATCGATTGTATTCAGAGATCGAAACCCGCTCATATACTCTGTATGTGCTTTAGGGGAGGGGCGGGCGGGTACTTGGGCCTTGCGGGTACATTCATGTAATCTGAGACTCTCGAACTTTCTGATGGAGTCTTCAATATTTTGTGTATATGAAACTTTTGTTAATATATTGTATACTGTGTTGGCTGTGTGAAGTAAACTAAAACTCTAATGAACACTTTGGATCCAGGTTAGCGTAGGAGACCAAAGTGGGAAGGGCTTTAGGGCACTGATAAAGGCCCTAGTGTACTTTTCAATCCTGTGTAATGTTTAATTCTTGCAACTGAATCAAAACAGTGTTAAATTATGGCAATATTTGCACTTTGGGAATGAGTACATTATTGTATGATCACACTCTGCAAATGCCACTTTTAAAGCTGTTAATAGACTTTGCACCTTTTCTTTGACAAGGATGTGTCATATTTAAATTTTTACATTCATCATGGCTACAAGTTAGAACCGGGGAGGGGGGAATGTAATTTTTTATGGGAATTTTGATATGAAAAGAAATTAGTCATTTATTTATACAATAGGCTTGGCTCAAAAAGTGTTTTTCAGACTCGGTATTCCTAAAGTGGGATGTGACTTTATTTTATTTTTAGTAGCAAAATTGGATGTAGACTGACAGACATAGTTGAATGTCGTAATAAATTTAAATTTGAAGATAACTATGTTTTGTTTTCCTGTGATGACTATTAATATAAAGTGTCTTGTTGAAATTTTGTTCTTAGGAGATTTTCTTTTATATATACACAGCTGGGTTTCTTCTATCTTGATCCCTGTCTGAAATGCCCTGTAGAGGACAAAACTTTCTGCTTGAAAACGTGCCAGTTCTTTGAAATCTACACCAATGGCAGCAGACCCACCTCTGTACCCAATGCATCTGGAGACCTTTTTAAAAAAACACGTTTTTTAACCACACTTCAGACCTACTGCACAAGCTTGAGGGAGCCAGAGAGTGTGCACTTCAGAGCGCCCTGTGGCCTGACACCAGCACAGTTTCACATTCAGGAAAGAAGTGGGGAGACTGCAACGGGGGGAGCCAGAGGGTTCCCACCATCCTTCGTGAGCTGGCTTACGCAGAAGACAGGGCAGATGGCTCCCTCTAGTGGTAGTCAGGCTGTTGTCCAAGACCTGGCAGCGATCTCCAGTTTAAAACTGATGTTCAGCCTTTGGGTTAAAGATAACTTTAAATATTAAACTTTCTGGTACCTTGTTTGAAGGAATTAAAATGGCATATGAAATGGAAATCATTTGCAGTTTGGTGAACTTGGCCAGCCTTTAGCGCTGTTTTAATAAAAGTAGAGACTCCTTTGGCACCAAGTTTCACATTAGAATACACTTTTTTACCTCCTATTAGCGTGGAGACCCCAGCTCTGCTCGACAAGTCGCAGGAGCCTCTTGACCCAGCAGCCTGGTGGACAGATAACAGTCTGTCAGTGTGTGTCCCTTTGTTCAGTCAGGAAAAGTGTCTCACAAAACCCTCAACATCTCTGGCTTTACGACGACAAGGATTTATGTCTCACACACACTGCATATGTGAGTCTGCTGTGGAGCCGACTCTCAGGGGTCTAGGCTGATGACTAGCCACTGTCTGAAACCTTTCTGACGAAACCTTTCTGGCCCAGGGAAAGGGCTCTGAGAGGAGTTAGCAATTTCATGCTCCCTCCAGTGGTGACACAGGTCCCTTCCTTTCTCCCACCCCCACGCACACCCTGCCCGAAGGCCCTGCCAGCACAGAGGGTGTGGAAGTTCAGCCTTCCTCCTGTGGTCTGTAAAGAGAACAGATTAGCAGTGCTGATAAACACCACCCCTCAGTTGAAGCAACATGCAATTATTTACACATGAATCAAAATTTGGGAGCACACCTGTCAATGGTTCTAAGCGTACTGGTTGAGAGCCTCTGACTTAGTTTGCTGCTTGTTCTAATATGCCATCTGTCTTTTGAATTTGTTTTCCAGCCATTTTTGTAAGTTTCCAACTCACTGCCAAGACTTTGGACCTACGAAGAAGATAAAATTGAATGTAGTTTGTGTTCAATACTATGGAAGAGAAAACAAAATTAGGTTTCCCTATATTATTATTATTTTTCTATTGATCAGATTAAGTGAGAAAATATCACATTCCTTATGGGCCCTTTTTAGGCCACTTGTTCTGTCCACCTGATAATTGCCACTATTTTTAAGACAGTATGTAGCTGTTTTTCACTCATGATCACGTCTCTTAAAAACTTTTTATTCCCTTATGAACTTGGACATCAAAGTTAGCACCAAATGGTCTAAACCCTCATACTAGTTGTCGCTGTGTATTTCCAGTTTGTGGTGGTTTTCATTTTATAAAACTTGCCCTAGTGGCCTAAATCCTGCTATTTGCACAGCCTGTCTCTGGAGGTCTCTCAATAGGGCCTCCATGTATTCTCTGGAGTATACCATGTTTTCATGAGCATTTTACATTGAAACACTGCTTTTTCCCAAAGGGTTTTGACATTATGTCAAATCGGGATTGTAATTAGTTAATAGAAATGGAGAAATTTTGCAGTTTCCAAGTTGAAAAGGGAGGACTTTCTCTATGGCAGTGGTAATGGGACAAGAGCTGGATAGAGGTTTAAATATTAATAAAAAATGTAAGTGCCAATTTTGAAAAGCTGCCTTTAAAAATCAGTTTTACACTCTAGCTGCTTCATAAAAATTGGGATTTTAAATATATCCCAGAACAGAAGGAAAATTCTAGAACATGACAAGTTGGAAGTAGGAATTACAAGGTTTTATTTTTTTCGAATGCTGTATGATGTAAAAAAAAATTTTTTTTCCAACATTGCTTATTATTTGAAAAGCATTTTAAAAGAAAAATCCTAATCTCACTTTTGGAATTAGTCTTCTCATGTTATTTTTATATTCGGTGGTTAGCAGAACTCCCCCATGGAGAAGTGCACAAACCCACCGAGAGTCATTTCTACTTCTCTTTTTAAAGTTGACTGCCTTTGGTTTCTGAAATTCAAATACATTCCAAACCATTTGGCAATTCATCAGTTAAGGCACACCTGTTTCTCCCACCTTTGAAGACAGAGAGTGCTATGACTTAAAAAAAAAAAAAAAAAAAAAAAAAAAAAAAAGGATTGCAACCCTGGCTGGTGTGGCCCAGTGGATTGAGTGCCAGCCTGCAAAGCAAAAGGTTGCTGGTTTGATTCCCAGTCAGGCCACCTGCCTGGGTTGCTGGTTGGGTCCCTGGTGGGGGGCACACAAGAGGCCACCAATGTTTCTCTTCCTCTCTCCCGCACTCCCCTCTATAGGTAAATAATCTTTAAAAAAAATAGGATTACATTTTATAGGTACTACTTGCTTAGAAAAAAAATAAAAAATACTAGGAGCTGCCCATGGAACTAGTCATTCTTGTGGCCACTCAGAAAAATTCTCTCCAGTGGATTCTACAGTTGGATGCAGTATGTGGACAGGTTGCGAATCAAGGTAGGACATTCCCAGTGAAGGGTGAGCAAACCCCGCGACTAACTATGCTTCTGGCATCCCCTGTGTTGTCCTTGATTTTACCAATACTGATGTTCATGTTCTTTTCCTAAAATCTATGGTGACGAACGTTGAGCTGTTTGACCTTTAGTTTTTCTTTCTATTCTTAATAGGTACAAGCAACTCCTTGCTTTCCTGTTGTTTTGTATGTTCTGAGGCATGGCATCGGACTTGCTGGAAATAAAATCTTGATGAAGGTAGAAGAAATCCCGAGCCAATTGTAGATGGAATATTCTCTTCCTTTCCAAATGAGAACTTGCCAAGCTGAAGTCATTTCTGAGTGGCATCGTGCCTGCTGTTTCCTTTGACAAGCCTTGTATCAGCCCCGTCAGACTGAGGGAAATACAGGCAGCAGAAGGAGGAGCCTTCACCAAAGGCAGGAGCTATGGGCTACAATTTTTAATCCCTTTCAAGCTGTGTGATCCTCGGCCAGCCCTTGTTATTCTGAGGTATTATTCTGCTCAAGGTTTTGCCCATCTGTATTAATATCTACCACTGACTGATGAGCCTCGTATATATCATACATATTTTTACGTGCTATGCAAATATTAAACGGGACTCGTGTTTGGTTTCCACTGTGTTCCCAGTGCCTGGCACAGAGCAGGGGCCTCTCAGCACCCACTGAGTGAACGAATGAACTTAGTATGTGGTTCCTCGGATAACCCCTATGGTTTGAAAAAGGCAGAGAATCTAGTTCGTTCTAGAGGCAGAGTGTAGCGTTACGTGCCAGCTAGCCAAAATCACGTCTGGGATTGGTTTCTGTTTGCCTAACTGAATTCAGATACAGAACTCGGAGTTTCTAGAACAGAGGTCCCACATCTTGAGCATCCAGGTGAAATCTGGGCTGATGCATTTTGCTTTGTTTTAAGGCTTGGCCTCCCTGGTGTGCTTCAAAGTGATGTTTTCAGAAACATTTGAACTGGTTGCCAACTACTTAAAAATGGCAAGCCTATAAATACTAATGTAATTTGCCAGCTTCTCTCAGAAAATTGGAAGAGCTGGTCGCATGAGGTTAGTCACTCCTGCCTGGCAACAGTTGGCAGGAGCTGAGGTGGGTTGAGTGGGCTAGTTTCTAATTCAGCCTGATCTCCTCCTTGCCGTGACCTGCTCTTGACAATTAGACTGTTACCAAACTTCTGTGCCCCTAAGAGATTCTGTGATTACTGGTCAAGTTTGGCTTCTCATTTAATGAAACTGTATAGTGCAAATATTCTGTTGATCAAACTGAAAAAATACAAGGGAACCAGAAGCAATGTGGGTACATCCAATGCTCACTTGTGAAAATGTATAATCTGTATTTTCATTTTTCTCTAATTACAGTAGTTCAGTTTTGTTTTTTAAGTGACATTGTATTTCATTTGAACCTTTTTTCAGTTTGTTAGAATTTTGCACTCTGTATCACCAAATCTTTGCATGACCCTAGGTGAGTGTTTCTCCATCTTTGATGGGCATTGGAAACAGGTGGGAAGCTTGTCAAACATACAGATGCCTGGACCCCGCCCCGCAGATTCCAATAGGGGAGATTTGGGATGGAGACTGAGCACCTGTTATCTTTTTACAAATTTTGCAGATGATTCTGATCCCATGGAAATGTGAGAACCTTTGATCTAGAGTAAATGCTCCTGCTATTTTGGTGAGAGGGGGTTCCTGGTTTGAGGAGCCACGGCTCTAGTGGAAGAAGGTTCTTATAGAAGAGACACACGAGAAGACGGTTGCCTCTGAGGAGCGTCTGTGGTCAAACTGCAGCGGCTCTAACAGCCTGCAGGGTTCCTGCAGGGAAGCAGCGAAGCCTGGCGGGCACGTCAGTGCAGGTGCACGTGTGAGCTCTGGCCTTGTCCACCAACCATTTTGGTTGATTAACCACCCAGAAAAGTCTGAAAC